GCGCCGCCGGCGCTCGGCGGCGTGCTGCCCGAGGCCCAGGCGAGCCGCGACGCGCGGCGGTCGCCGGCGACCCTCGCGGACGTCCAGCGCCTCGGCGACGAGGCGACGTACAGCCTGAGCTTCTACAGCTCGTTCATCGATTTCGCGGGCTGGCGCGGCGCGAACCTGCCCATGGGGTCGCCGAGCCTCGACTCCATGGTCGGCGACCAGCCCATCGACGTCGTCGTCTTCGACCACAAACCCGGGGGCGCGCCGGGCGAGAAGCGCTACTGGTTCCGCTACCGGTGCCGCTGGGACGCGGAGCTGGCCGCGTTCGCGCGGTCGCCCGCGCTGCTCGCGAAGCACGCGCGGCGCCTCGAGCGCGGGTTGGGCGACGGCGACGGCGCGGCGCGCGCGTCCATCGACGAGACGGGCTTCGGCTACGTGCGGTCCGGCGAGCCCGCGACGTTCGCCGCGTGCGCCGGCGACGCGCGGCCGGGCCTCCGGCGGCGCACCTCCGGCGGCTGCGACTGCGTCGCCGAGGCCCGGGGCTTCGCCGTGCTGCGGGAGCAGGCCGCGGCGCCGGCGTTTCGGCTCCTGGCGACGCCGCCGCGGTCCGACGGCGACGACGCGCTCCGCGACGGCGACGTCGTCCGGCTCCAAAGTTGCGCGTCGAAGCTCTGGCTCACGCAGGCCCGCAGCGGCTGGCTCGCCTGGCGGCGGCGCACGGACCCGCGGCACCCGAAGCCCAAGTCCTCCGAGCTCTTCCTCGTCGAGGGGCCCCGCGAGGGCAAGCGGATCCGCTTCGGCGACCCTGTCGGCCTCGCGGCCAAAGGCCACCCGGACCTCCGCGTCGCCGCGCCCGCGGCGCCGCCGTCGGCCAAGTACGGCGGCGCGCTGCTGCGGTTGCGCAAGGTGGCCCGCGGCGGCGACGACGCGGCGCTGCGGCTGCTGCCCCTCGCGGCCGCGGCCGGTGATCATCCCGAGACCGAGCCGTCGGACGACGACGAGTGCTTCGAGGAGCTCGGCGGCGAGAGCCCGCCGCCGGCCTGCGACCCGGCCTGGGTCGTCTCGCGGGCCCACGCCGCGGGCTTCGTCGAGCTCGTGGACCGCGGGCGCATGCGCATGAAGCGCGCGTATTTGGTCGTCGCGACGCTGCGCAAGGACGGCGCGGACGACGCCGCGCCGGGTCGCGCGGCGTCGAGCGACTCGCTCGCGTCGTCCTGCGCCGAGGAGGTGCGCCACGTGAGCCGCCTGCGCACGGCCGAGGACGTGGCGGCCTGCGTGGGCCTGCCCGCGGCGTCGCTCCTCTTCGGCCGCGGCGGCGGCGCGGACGCGGCGGCGGCGCGGCGCGCGCGGCGCGCGGCCGCGCGGGAGCGGCGCGCCGAGGCGGGGCGCCTCGCGTCCAAGGCGAAGAACTTGGTGAAGGAGCGCGTCGGCGAGGGCGCGGCGCGGCTCGGGACGAAGGCGCGCGCGGCGCTCGACGCGGCCAAGGACGCGGCGCCGCCGGCTCCAAAGCTCCGGCGGCTCTTCGAGTCCGTCAAGTCCGCGGCGGGCCGGCGGACGCCGAGCGCCGACGGCGCGCCGGAGAGCGGCGAGGACGACGATGACGACGACACGGCGCTGGACGACGACGACGATGACGAAGAAGAAGAGGAACCGGAGGACGACTTCGAGGCCGCGGCGCGGTCGGCCGCGCTCCTCCGCGACTTCGACGACGAGGGCGGCGCGTCCGACGGCGACGAGCCGCCCGGGTCGGCGCCGCCCAGCGACGACGACGGCGCCCCCGAGCACGTGGCGACGCCCGTGCGCCGCGCCGCGGACGAGACCTTCGACGGCCCCGCGGAGGCGCCGGCGCCGCCGTGGGTCGCGCCGCTCGCGAGCCGCGACCGGCCGCCGCTGCACCGGTCCGCGGCGGATATCGGCGCGCACCGGCTCCAGGCCCGCTTCGACGCCATGGTCGCCGGCGGGCCCGCCGCGAACCGGAAGCTCGCGCTGCTTCTCGCGGAGCCGCGCCCGCTCGACGACGGCTTCCTGCGCGGCGGCGCGGCGGCCATCGGCGTCGGCGTGTCCAAGGGCGCGGGTTTGGCCGCGTTGCTGGGCAAGGGCGCGCCGGACAACTCGTCGCCGCTCAAGCGCTTCAACTCGTCCGAGGGCGCGGCCGTCGTCGCCGTCGCGCGCGGCGAGGGCCACTGGGTCGAGGGGTTGGCGGTCCTACGGAGCGGGCGCCTCGACGTGTTCGATGCGTTCGGCTCGGCCCACGACCCGCCGGCGTTAGCCGTGCCGCTGCACGAGATTTTGAAGTGCCGCGCGCTCCGGGGCGCCGCGGGCGGCGACGACGCCGGCGACGGCGACGCCGCGAACGCGCGGCCGGGCGCGCCGCTGCCGTCGCCGACGCGCACGGGCTACAGCGCTTTGGCGTCGTCGCCGCGCACGGAGCGGCCGCCCCTGCCGACGCTGGTCGTGGAGACCGTGGGGCTCTGCCACTACTTGGCGTTCGCGACGGCCGCGCGGCGCGACGCGTTCTCGCGCGCGCTCGCGGTCGCGCGCGCGTGCTCCGACGGGTTGGGCAACGACGAGGCGGACCACCGCGTCGCCGCGGCGGCCTGCAAGGACCCGCGGGAGAACTTCGTGCTGAAGCCGCGCGCGTACCGCGGCGACCGGCTCATCCTGAACGCGCGGCGCCTCGCGTTCGACGCGGACTTGCACCTCGCCGTGCCCAAGAAGCCCTGGGAGCTCGCGCGCGATCTCCTGCGGCGCGTCTTCGCCGCGTCGCCGGACGCGGGCAGCGACGACATGGCCGCGATTTTGGACGAGGCCGCGGCGCTCCGGAAGCTTCCGCTCGCGGCGCTCGACGACGAGCCCCCGAAGCGCGCGCTCTGCTTCTTCCTCAACCTGCACCACGCCCTGCTCCAGCACGCCTTCCTCGTGCTCGGGGCGCCGGCGCGGGCCCAGGACCTCGCGGCGTTCGCGCCCGCGGTGTCGTACGACGTCCTCGGCGACGTCTTCAGTTTGAACGAGCTGAGCCACTGCGTCATCCGCGGCAAGCTCCACGCGAACCTGCGGGCCGCGCGGAGCGCGCCGCGGGCGCCGACGCCGCCGCCGGACGACGAAGGGGACGCGCCGCCGCCGGCGAAGCCGTCGACGCTCAAGGACCGCGCGAAGCAGAAGCTCCGGGAGAAGGGCGACCGCTTCAAGGAGGTGCTCCGGCGCACGAAGGCGAGGTGTTGAGCTCGTCGGCGCCGTCCGACGGCGCCGCGACGCCGCCGGTTCCGGGCGACGCGGCCGCGTCGCCGCCGCGGCCGCCGCCGCCGAGGGCGGCGGCCGCGACGCCCGCGGCGACGCGCTGGGGCTGGCCCGCGCCGCCGCCGCCGCCGCGCGACGACGACCACTGGGACCTGGCGCTGAGCGCCGCGGACTGCCGCGTGGCCCTCGCGCTCCACCCGGGCACCGCGGACTTTCCCCGCGAGGTGCTCGAGTTCACGCCCGACGACCTCGCGCACCAGCTCAACGACGCCGCGACGACGTTCCTCGAGGCGCCGGGCGCCTTCCACGTCGACGAGGCGAAGCGCGTCGTCACGCTCCCGGCGCCCTGCGAGTTCCTGCTCAACCCCGCGGCCGCCGGCGACGACGCCGCGGCGCGCGACGTCCTCAAGACGTGCCTCCGCTTCGTCGGCAAGCGGCGCTGGCGCCAGCTGTCGCTGCTCCTGAACGGCGCGGCGAAGATCGAGGTCCGCTTCAGGCCGCCGGCGTCCAAGTGCCACGACGCGCTCGCGCTCGTCCGCGCGGCGCCGCGGTCGCCGGTCGCCGCGCCCGGGCCGCCGCGGACGCCGGAGCGGGCGAAGCTGGAGGCGGTGTAATTTTGTAAGTTCGCACGCGTGGGCATGGTTCTCGCGTACCCGCGACGTTTGCAGATGGCGTTGCAGAGGCTGTGCACGTCGTGCCCGAGGTAATTTTGCCGATCGCCGAGGCTCGAGACGGAGAGGTGACCCGGGTCCGCCTCTGTGGATAAGCAACCCCCTCTCGCCGCGCCCATGGCTTTCACGATCACCATGCCTTCGGGCGAGGTCCGCACGGTTTCGAGCCGGGAAGAACAGGCCCGTGCGAACGAGGTGCTGGAGATGGTGCGCCGCGGCATCTCCCTCAACAGCAGTGTCGATTCCACACATAGGGCCAGGGGCCCCCATAGGAATTAAGTAACTAACTATCTTGGCCGGCCGGAGTACGGCTAGGGAGCTATCCTGGGCCGCCAGTACGCCTAGGGAAGGCCGTGGTCGTCGAACCTCGGCAAAATTGGTCGCCTATATCAAATCATGTCAACATAAGCTCGTTATATGTCGAAAAAAGGCGATTTGGAGGTGTTTGGGGGGCAAAGAGATCGGGGAAACGTGGTAATTGAACTTCAACATTGCACTTCAAGTGCAAACTTTTTGATTCAACGGATCTCGGGTTATCTCACGAAAATATTTGGAATCGACACTGCTCAACAGCTTCCCCCCGAAAGGCCACACGCCGCTCGTGAACGCGATCCTTCACTTCCCCATGGACCGCGATCGCAACCTCATCGGGCTAATCATGGATCTGGGCGCGGACCCGAACGCGCCGGACTCGTGCGGCACGACGCCGCTCTGGCTGGGCGTGGGCGCGGGCCGGCTCGACATCAAGCTCATCAAGGCGCTTGTGCGATACGGCGCCGACCCCGCAGCGTCCTGCCCCGATGCCTGGGGAAAAGACGAAGCCATCGTGCACGTCGCGTGGCGCTACGGCCGGCAGGACGTGATGAACTTTTTCCGCTCCCGCGGCATCGAGGCGCCGGAGGGCCCGTCGCCCGACAATTCGGATGGGATGGGCGCCTTCATGGCCAGCGTTCCCGGTCGGGCTGCGGGACCCAAGACGAAGCCGAACGAGCCCTGCCCTTGCGAATCCGGCAAGAAGTACAAAAAATGCTGCGGCCTCGCGAAAAAGAAGACGGATACCGGCCCCGAGTAGATCGCGCTGTACTAAATCTGGCGAGAGTCATCTTACTTCGCCGTCGCCGGGCGCGACGACGAGAACGAGCCCGACCGCATGTCATTCACGAGGGCGCCGCGCCGGAAGGCCGTGAGGTCGAGCTTGGAGAACTCGAAGGAGAGGTCGTCGAAGAGCCCGAACGCCTCCGGCGCGTTCTTCAACACGAAGAACGCCTCCGCGGCGCTGTCGTTGCTCGCGTCCGCGCCCTGGAGCCTGCCAAATTTCAGATCCCCCTCGTTGACGCAGAGCTGGAAGCAGCTCTGGTGCGCCTGGATGTCCACGACGATGTCGAGGTCGAAGTACTCCGCGCTCCGTCCGACGGGCAGCGCGCAGCACGCGCACGCGCGCTTCTTGTCGCGGGCCGCGGCCGCGGCCGCGCGCCGCGCGACGACGCGGTCGTAGGCGTGGACCGAGGACCCGAGCGCGCAGCAGCACTCGCGCGCGACGCCCCGCGCGCAGTGGAGGGGCGCGCAGCAGAGCGACGACGGGCTGTCGCAGGGGTACCAGTACTCCCAGTCCGTGAAGACGACGCGCTCAGACGTGATCTTGTACCTGCATCGATAAATGTAAGTTGAATTGATGAATCCAGGACGCTGAGTAGAATACGCGGGCGCGCAGCACCACTCGCTGTTGCGCACGCTCCCGAGGCACGTCCGCGCGGCGCCCTCGGAGTCGTAGTACGTGAACTCGCGCTCCCCGTGGAAGGGCTTCGCCGGCGGCGCGTCGTGCCTCGCGTCGAGGCGCCAGACCGTCGCGCCCATCCGCGCGCCCAGGACCTGCGCCGCGCCGCCGCGGACGTCTACTTTGGAGAGCTCGAACGTGAGCTCGTTGAAGACGTCCAGGGGCTTGTATACGTCCGAGACGACGAAGAGCTCGTTGGGGTCACTGAGGTCCGCGCCGGATTTGCGGTACAACACGAGGTCGCCCTCGCCGCGGCAGATCTGGCAGAGCGTCTGGTGCGCGGACGCGTCGACGACGATGTCGCTGTCGAACGTGTCGAGCGTGCGGCCGACGGGCACGCGCGGGCACGCGCCGCCCTCGTCCGCCGCGCCGGCGGGCGCGATGGCTTCCCAGCCCGTCGACGCGCCGTCGCAGCAGCCGAAGAAGCCCAGGCACAGCATCGGCGCGGCGCGCTCCAGGGGCACGAGGTCCCACCGCGAGTAGACGACGCGCTCCGTCGTGACCTTCGACCAGCCGGGACAGGACAGGCAGTAGTGGAGCTTGCCGAGCATGGTCCGCTTCACGCGAGCACTGTCGTAGAAGACCTGTGATAGGATGACGGTCGCGATCTTTCGGAGGCTCCGGACGACGCGGGCGCCGAGCCTTCTCCTTTCGTCGGTGCATCGTCGAGCGCGTCGCGGTGCCGCAACCGAAGCAGGAAGCGCAGGCGACGCCCAGCGCGCTCGCGACGCCTCGCTCCGGTAGCTCCGGCTCGACCGTCACGTGCTTCACCTCCACCGCGTCGCCGCGATCCATGCGCTGCATCACGAGCGGGTTGGATGCCTCCATGGCCGTCGTGAAGGGCAGCCTCTTGCTGTGCAACTTTCACCTTCAAGGAAAATGACGCCTGCCTATTGTAGGCTGTCGATCATGCGCTCGCTCTACCCCGCGGGAAGTATGTTTCGGTTCTAAGCAGCCCCCAAACACCATGGCGAACCCCTTCGCCCCCGGGGCGGCCATGGACGTCCGCGAGCCCCTCCTGGGCTTCGACCGCGCGGCGTCCCGGCGGCGCACGCTCCAGGGCCGCGCCCTCGTCATGGCCGTCGCCTTCGCGTCCGTGTCGCTGGCGCTGCTCAACACGCGGCCTCGCGCCGAGCCCGTGTCGGCCCTGGACCAGTCCTACCCCGTGCTGTCGCTCGAGCGCGAGGTCGCGACCCTGCGCGACGAGTCGACGACGGGCTGGCTGACGCTCGCGCTCGAGTTCCTGGCCGCGGTCCTCGCGTGCCTCGTCGCCCTGGACGCGCGCGAGCTGCTCCGGGCGCCGGCCGTCGCCGCCGAGGAGGTGGAGGGCGGCAAGTCCGCGGCGGCGTTCCAGCTCACGCGGGGCATCGCCGTCGCGCCGAGCGAGGCGAAGATCCTCCGCCGCCCGGTCGCGGACTCCGACGACGGCGGCGCGGCGCGCGCGCGCGAGCTCGCCCGGAGCGCGGCCCTCGTCGTGCTCTACATGGCCGCGGCCATCGGCATCGTCTACGTCAACGCCTACGTGCTCCACGTCTGGCGCTACGCGGCGACGCTCTGCTTCGCGCAGATGACGTTTTGCTCCGCGTGCGCGGCCGCGTGCTGCCGCCTCGGCCTCGGCGACCCGGCGGCCTGCGCGCTGGCGAACCGGCGCACCTACGCGACCATCGCGCTGCCCCTCGCGGGCCTCTACGCGACCTTCCTCTACGGGTCCAACGCGGTCTACGCGTACCTGCCCGTGGGCTACATTCAGGTGCTCAAGGTGTCGCAGGCCTTCGTCGTCTACGTGCTCCTGGCCTGCGCGGGCGAGGAGGCCGTCGCGCCGAAGCCGTTGCTGAACCTGGCGGTCATCTTGGGCGCCGTCGCCGTCGCGTCCGTCGCGCAGGCGCGCCTCGAGGGCTTCTCGGCGGCGGGCTTCGTCTTGATGATGGTCTCGAACGCGGCCTACGCGCTCTACCTCGTCGGCCAGCAGCTCGTGCTCAATGGCCGCGCGGGCGCGTCGCCGGGCGGCAAGCGCCGGCCGCTGGACGCGCTGACGACGCTCTACTTCCTCGGGCCGCCGACGGCGCTCGCGCTCGGCGTCGGCGCGTGCGCGACGGAGTGGACGGCGCCGGGCTTCTCGCTCGCCGACGCGCCCGTCGGCGCCATCGCGGGCGACTGCGTCATCGCCTTCGCGCTCAACCTCGTCCAGATCGCCATCGTCAAGCGCCTCAGCGCGCTCGCCTACATGTTCGCGGGCTACCTCAAGGGCGCGCTCACGGTCGCCATCGCCGTCGTCGGCCTCGGCGAGCCCGTCGACGCCGTCGAGGTCTGCGCCTACGCCCTCATGCTCGGCGGGCAGGTCGTCTGGTCCCTCCGGAAGCTGCGGAATAAACGATCGTAGCGCGTCCGGAGTCCGCCGGAGCCTCGCGAGAACTGCGCGAAGCGTCCGGTGCGGCGCGACGTCGAGCCGATACTGGCAACCGGGCCGCGCCGTGTTACGTCGCCTCCCCCCCGAAGTGCCAGACGTCGATCTTCGACGACCCCGAGCCCGCGACGCCTCGCTTCCGGCCCGTCTTCGGCGGCGGCGGCGGCCGATCGGCGGGCTTCGCCGCGTCCGCGTCCAGCAGGCGCTCGCACTCCTGGGTCCGCCGGAGCGCGGCGCCGAGCATCTTGCGCGCCTCGCGGAGCTTGGCCTGCGCGTCGAGCTCCGCGCGCTTCGCCGCGGCCTTGGCCTCCGTCTCCCGCGCGAGCGCGGCCCTCCACGCGCGGAGCAGGCCCGCCTCGCGGTCGCCCGCGCGCCGGAGCCGCAGCCGGAGCTCCGCGGCGTCCTCGGCGCCGCGCGCGAGGTCGCGCTCGAGCCGCGCGACCGCGAACCCGTCGCCGTCGTCGGCCCTCGGGGCCCTCGCGGGCGCCGCGCGCGCGCGCTCGGCCTCGAGGCGCCGCGCGGCGGCCCGCGCGGCGGCGCAGGCCTCGTCGGACGCGACGCGGTCCGCGCGCGCGCCGTCGAGGCGCTTCCGCGCGGCCGCGCGGTCGCGGTCGCGGCCCGCGGCGTCGGCCGCGCGCGACGCCTCGAGAAACGCGCACGCCGCCGCGAGCGCCGCCCGCTCGCAGACGAAGACGGCGCCGCAGGCGGCGCCGACGGCGCGCGCGGCGACGGCGGCGAAGCGGCCGTCGCCGGAGAAGGCCGCGGGCGGCGGCGCCGGCGCGGCGGCCGCGGGCGGCGCCGCGGGGACCGGCGGCGCCGCGGGACCCGGCCGACGGCGGAGGGCCGCGCACCGCTCGCGGAGTTTGGCGTTCTCCGTCTCGAGCGTGACGCAGCGCGTGGTCCAGGCGCGGAGGGCCTCGCGGAGCGGGGCTTCGGGATCCGGCCGCGGCGCGTCCGCGGCCGGCGGCCGCGGCGCGCGGGGCGCTGCCGGGGCCCAGGCCTCCGCGGGCGCGGCCCTGGGCGTCCGCGGCGCCGCGCGCTGCTTCAGGCGCTTCGACTCGTCGACGGGCTCGCCCAGGAAGGCCTGGAGCTCGCCGAGGCCCGCGACGCCGTCGCCGTCGCCGTCGAGCGCGTCGACGAGCGCCCTCTGCTCGTCGGGCAGGAGGCCGCAGCCGAGCTTCCCGAGGCCGTCGACGAGCTCCTGGCGGCCGAGGGCGCCGTTGCCGTCGCGGTCGAGGGCGCGGAAGAGGGCCGCGGCCGGCGACGGCTCGCCGTCGCGCGCGGCCGCGGACGTCGCCGCGGCCGCGACCGCGCGCTTGACGTCCGGCGCGGGCCGCGGCGGCCAGAAGGCGAAGGCGGCGAACTCGGCGAGCGTCACGGCGCCGTCGCCGCTCGGGTCGAGGCAGCGCCGGACGACGGCCGCGGCCTGGCCCGGCGACGGCGCGCGGTCCGGGTTGCCCGTCTTATCCTGTTCGCCGCCGACGCCGAAGCCCGGCGCGTAGAGCGGGAGTTTCAGCGTACCGAGGTGCTTCTTCAGCGCCGACGCGTCGAGCGTCGCCTTCTTCGCGTCGGCCCTGGCCGCCTTCCTGAGCCGGTCCCACGCGGCGCCGGGATCGGGCACGCCGGAGGCCCGCGCGGGGCCCCGGAGCGCCGCGGCGGCGGCGTCGGCGACGACGGCGAGCTCGGCGTCGCCGTCGCGCGGCGCGTCCTCGAGCGCGAAGGCGACGAGGTCCTCGTGGGACGCGCCGCCGCCCGCGTCGACGCCGACGGCCTTGCCGAGCGCGGCCGCGACGCGCGCGTCGAGGGGCCCCGGCGACGACCGGCGCACGGTGAGCGCGCACCCCGCGCCGGCGGCCTTGACGCGGCGCTGGACCTCCGCGGCGAGCTTCTCGACGCCCGCGTGCTCGCCCGCGGGCAGCTCGCCCGTTCGCTCGCGCTCGACGTTCGCCGCGAGCTCGCGCGACACCTCCGCTAACGTCGCGCCGCCGACGGCCAAAATCTCGTCGCCGGGCCGCAGGTCCCCGGCGTCGCCGCGGTTCACGATGATCGCCGTCGTCGCCTGGTCCAGGTCGAGCTTGAACGACGCGTCGACGCGGACGCCGACCGTCTCCGTCGCCGCCGCGGCCGTCGCGCGCGTCTCGTCGACGACGAGGCCCGCGTCCTCGAGCAGCGCGCGGAACTCGCCGCGGTCGACGACGCCGCTGCCGTCCGCGTCCGCGTCCTTGAAGGCCGCGAGGAGCTGGTCGCGCGTCCGCGGGCCCTTGGACAGCAGGAAGCTCCGGAGTTGGCGCGAGGCCGCCGCCGCGGCGCGCGCGAAGGCGTCCCGCGGCGCCCGGAGCCGCGGGCCCTCGACGCGTACGACGTCGTCGCCGAAGCGCAGCTCCGCGCCGCCGCGGGGCAGCGCCGCGACGACGACGCCCTCGACCCACTCGCCCGTCTCGCCGTCGCGCGCCTCGGCGCGGTCGCCCGCGTGCCAG